GGGCCAGCCCAGCCTCGGGGAGGGGGGAGAGGTTCCGTGAGAGCAGCAGAGCCCGAGCAGGGGCACAGCCAGGCTGGCCAGGGCCGCGCTGAGTCCAGCCCCAGCGATCAGCTCTTGCGGCAGGTACGTCCCCCGTGGCAGTGCGTCACCGAGCAGGCGAAGGGCTCCGGCCCTGACTGAGCCCGCAGTGCAAAGCCAGGCATACAGCCAGGCCTGCCTCCCGGCGCTGTTTGCTGCCCAGCCTGGTGCTCCGTTCCTGGCAGCAGCAGGAGGTCCTGGCACAGCGCTTGGCAGCCTTCAGTCGGCCTTTGGGTCTGCTTCTGACAGCGTCCGGAGCTTGGGCAAACAGGGAAAAAGGAACCTTCTTAGAGAGAAAAAAGCAACAGGGCTTCTTAAAACTGGCTGTTCCAGCCTGATCCCCCCCAGGGCAGCTTTCTTTGCCAGCGTTGGTTGTTTGCTGCCTATTTATCCAAACACTGTACTTATTGTATGAAGAGACTTGTAGCGCCAGTGGCCAGGTAGCTGCCCTGTGACTTCATGGTGAGCCATGGCAATCGCACAGCTCTGGCAGAGCTGCAGGGTGCTCTCTTCATCCCTCCAGCTCTCTTCCCAAGTCCCTCCAGCTCTCTTCCCAAATCTCTAAGGCAGGAATTTCCCCATCTGCTGTGGCATGCGGCTGTATTTACTGAGCGCTGAGGGCCGGGTGAGGAGCAGTGCGGTAAGCCCTGTGAACTGAGCTGAGAAATGGTGTGACAAGCCCTTGGAAAGGAATTTTAAGTGCTGGGGGTGGCTTTACATTAGCTGCTTGAAACTTGTGAGAGCCAGGAGCTGTTTTGCCATAAGCTCTTGTCGCTCTGCTGGGCTGCATTGCTGGATTTCTCTGTGCACTGCTTGCCTTACCTGTAAAGCGGGATGACTACTGTTTGCCTGCTCTAAAGACTGCAAAAACCCACTGCTGGGAAGCGGTGGGCAAAAGCAAGGTGGTGGTAGTGTTGTAACTGTGACCGTAATGTGATGTTAACTTCTGGCCTCCCCTGTTAGCTGATTAATTCTTGTTTTTTTCATGAAGTGTGTTTGGCAGCTCTCGGCAGCAGTTGGGTTAAGGTTTGCTCCTATCCCATTTTTTTTAAGTTGTGTGATATACACAGATGTTTCTCCCCGCGGTGGCCAAGGAGGTGTGCAGGATCGTGAATAGCCTTGTAGATCGGTAACGATCTCTGCAATAGCATGGCCAGCAGGCTGGCATCTACACACCCTTGGACACATGGTGTCTGGAGTACAGAGTGTACCAATGGCTCCCCCAAACTTCCTCGCACGGCATGGGGTCTGTCTCCATGTCAGGAACCGTGGGCTACTCCATCATCCCCTGGAGGATCCTGGAGGGAGAGGGGGAGCAAGGTGCGGGACATTTCTTGGAGCACGATGAACGGGGCTCATCTCGTGATAGGGAAGGAAGAGTTCCCAGGACAGGATTTCCACTTAGCAGAGATGAGCTGTTCCCGCAGTAGTCTCTGTGCAGCGCTGTCTGTACAGCTTTTTGTCTGCAGCACAAACTGAAACGATGTCTCGCCCTAATGCGATCTCCTGCTCTCGTCTTTCAGATGGGGCATCCTCTTCTCCCACCCACGGGACTTCACACCCGTCTGCACCACGGAGCTTGGCCGGGCAGCGAAGCTGGCGGCTGAGTTCAGCAAGCGCAACGTGAAGATGATTGCCCTCTCCATCGACAGCGTCCAAGACCACCTCTCCTGGAGCAAGGTATGGGGCACGGGGAGGTATGAGGGGAGCTTGTGCTGCTGCCTTGCTCTGAAAGTCAGAGGAAAAGCTCACGCAGAACAGAGCACAGGCTTGGAGCTACATATCTGCTGAGGATAATGTTGGAAGACAATGAATCCCAAAGCATGTAGGATAGGAGGTGCCAAAATGCAGAGCAGAAATGGGGAGGTCTGCTCCATCTTCATGGAGCACCCCACAAAATTTAGGGCACTCTGTGCAGCAACACTTTGAAACAAGAGGAAAACCGTATTAGTGCTCCCCTGCTGATACCTGAAAGGGCAAAACCTATGAAGGTGGTGCCAAAAGCTCGGAGGAAGGCAATCTATCCACAGACCCTCAAAAAAGTTCTGTAATGTAACAGGAAAGGAAAGGAGGCATCAAAAGTGAACAGGCAGTCTTCAAAGGGAGCAATTCATGCCCAGGCAGGGAAAATAAAACAGACAACAAACAGGGGCATGGTAAGCATAGAACCACAAATAGGAGAATGTTAAATATAAAACCATCATGAGGGAGTATAAAAAAAAAGGGAATGAAATAGCATGCTGAAAGAACATAAAAGGAACTAATTAAAAACTTCAAATGCAGCCTCAGCAATGGTGTGCTGCCAAGGACTGTGACTCCAGGGCTCACAGGTGGTAGGAGGATAAAATGAGCATTTCAGACAGATATGTCCAGAGTGTGTAAATCCCTGAGTGAATTACCTGACTCTTCCTTTGCTTTTAAAATTGGGAATGGCTACAGCAAACCTGTAGCTCAGCCAGAGCCTGATCTTACGTCCCCAGTCTGTGCACTGCTGCTCCAAGGGCTGGCTGAATGCATGAGCTCCTTAGGCAGGGCTGACTGGCACGTGCTGTGCATGTCAGAGGAGTTTTTGATGCTCTCTTTGGCCACTGATGCCTTCGCTGTGGTGAATCAGGGGTGAATAAATAACTCCAGTGATGTCTGTTGTCACCTGGGACTCGGGAAATAAAAATAGTTCATAGGGAAGCTAAGTGAGTCCTGGGTGTCTTCTTGCAAAACAGGGTGGGGTTTCTGAGGCTGTTTAGTACAGAGATCTCCAGGTCATGAAATTATGTGCATTTTGGAATGAGTTACACTCCATAGGATTCAGATATCGCTTCTCAGCGGCTCTCTTCATCCTCCAGCCCCTAGTCTGAAGAGAGACAAGGGGCTGTGTCACTGTCTAACCTTGATCTACATCTTCCTGTGACTCTGTGGGGCATTCAGAAGCATTTTACCTGGTCTGGCCCAGGAGAACACAACTAATCCCCTCTTCCCAAGGCAGGCCTGACCACAACCCAGCTGACACACAGCCCCTTTCTGCAGTGCAGTGCTGACTCAGGAAGCCCTGGGGGGAAAGCAAGCAAAGAGAAAAAGCTGGAAAGGAAACATCCTGCCACGTGTGCACCGCTTGACCTGCTTGCAGCATCCGGAGCAGCCAGGGCAGGGTTACAGCCCCTTATGTCACCACCATCAGCCTAGGAGGAGTGGTGCAGGACCCACCTGCTCTTGCTGCCTCTGGCGTGCTCTGAGCAGCAGTGGGCAGTGCCAAGGGGCAGATTTTCCAACACTGCCCTCTCCGAGTTCCCTCTGAGCAGGACCCAGCCTGTTCCCCCACATTCAGAGCCCGGGGAAGGCAGAGAGACTTGTGCATTCAAATTATCAGCTCAGCTGATAACGCAGCACAGCGGTACGTGGGAGGCTTGCGTCAGTGCTGGAGTCAAACTGTTTCCTTGTAGCGTAAAGAGGATGGAAGGAAGAGGCAGCTCTGTTCTGGGGCAGAAACCTTGGATTAAGTGTGCTTTAATGCTGGCAAAATGCATGTGTTGCCTTGAGCAGGCTTCTCCCAGCCCTGCTGTGGCTCGGCATGACCCATACAGGTAGTACTGCAAACTACCAGGATAACGTGAATGCTCTGGCCAAGTTCAGACCAGATTTGGAGAATAGAAATGATTCCCTCCTTCTTGACCACAGCCCAGCAGAGACACTCAAAATACAGTTTCCCTGTGAAGCAGTTCAAGTTTGGACTAGCACAGGGAGCAACCCCATAAACCACGGTTACAAGGGAGAGCCTGCACGGCTGTGAAAGGGGATGGCTTTCTCTACTGTCCCAGCCGTGGTTCAAAAAGGAACATGCAGTATCCCAGCACCTGCACTCAGACTTTCAGTGTTATCAAGAGCCTTTAGTTCAGTAAGCTAGGAGGGACTTGCTGAATGGAGCTGGTCCCTCGCACAAGACCTGTGAAGTGTTCGATGCTTGACCTTTGTTAGCTTTAGGGTTGCTGGTTTGCTCTGCCACGAGAGAAACTGTTCCCTAAGAGCACAGTCCAGTCCAGGTGTGACACCAACACATCTGTCAGCAGTGCCAGATCACTGATGGGGAGAGGGCTGGAGGAGGGACACCTCTGTCCCAGGAAAAGGTGGGTGGAGGTCTCCCTGCCTGGCCTCTCTCCCCTGTGGTGGTACCCACAACAGGGAGCATGAGCACGCTGATGGTTCTGTCTCTGCAGGACATCAACGCATACAATGGGGAACAACCCGAGGAGAAACTCCCCTTCCCCATCATTGCTGATGCGAACCGGGAGCTCGCTGTCAAGCTGGGCATGCTGGACCCAGATGAGCGGGACAAGGCCGGCATGCCCCTGACTGCTCGTGTGGTGAGTACCTGGTGCTGGAGCACCGCTGCAAGGCAGCCTTCTCAGCAGCAGGCATCGCCTGCCATCCTGCCCTGTCTCTGTGGGGCTGGGCTTGAAGATGGGGGCAGCTTCCTGGATGGAAATTACCATCTTCAGGAGCTAGGGTGGCTTCCTTGGGCTAGATCCAGGGGTTGTGCTGCAGGAAGAGGCTGGCGCAGTGCTAGCCTGCTGGGAGCAGCTCCACCTTGCTGCCAGCTCATCCAGATTGTGCCTGTCCTGACACAGAGGGGACAGAAGTGCTTGATCTGCTGGGCTTTCCCTCTCCCCTCCCATGCTTGCATTAGAAGGGTGCAGGTCAAGGCGGGGGGGGGGAGACATTTCAAGCAGTAAAACAAGCTGGTATTGGAAACAGGAGCTCCCAGAGCAAACACTGTTTTCCCTGTGCCTGGGTGACACTTGCTGCTCTAGGAGATCCCCACCATGACATCTCCCCTGTCCCAACACCTGCGATCAACAGGCCACCTCCCAGGGAAGGGAGGAGCAGCAGGGCTGAGCAGATCCAGCAGGGCTGTTGGACGAACATCTTCTGCCCAGCCCCTGACTCTGTCTCCCTGTGCTCAGGTGTTCGTTTTTGGCCCAGATAAGAAGCTGAAACTCTCCATCCTGTACCCAGCCACCACTGGGAGAAACTTTGATGAGATCCTGAGAGTGGTGGATTCCCTGCAGCTGACAGCGTACAAGAAGGTCGCTACCCCTGTGGACTGGAAGGTGAGGAGGGGAACAAAGCTCACAGCCAGGCACTGAAAACGTGCATTGAAATGTCAACCATCCTCTCTTGGAGAGGGACCCACAGGGTGGGGAAAGCTGCTGAGGTCCTGAGATATGAGTTAGATCCCAGCCCCGGCCCAGAGCTGTTGCAGTCTGAAGTCAGCCTTAGGAACCACCCTTCCCTAAGTCCCTGGTGTCCCCAAATACTGGGCTGGGCCCTTCTGGCTGTCTGTACTTGAGCTTTGGGCCAGGGAAGATCCTGCCCTTGTTGTTAGCGATAAGGCAGGGCGTTACCAGGTGTCAGCGTGCCAGAGTCCCCTCAAAGCCAGCAAAGCAGCAAGCACAGGGCACCCCTCCCTGGGCTGGCTCGCTGCTCTTCTGCCTTTGGGCCAGGGAGGGCCAGTATAGGCACAGCCCCGCATTGTCCAGCACATACATAGCTGAGTCCTGTCCTTGTGGAAAATTACTAGTTGAAGTTGCTTAGATGTGGCCATTCCTGTTCAGCAGCATCATTTAAGACTCCTAAAAACCAATGTGAGCAGCCAAGATAAAGCAAGAACAAGCAGCACAGTCTGGCTGCTTTAGCTAGCCCGTGTTCCCATTTGTTCCCATCTCATGGTTCCCATTTGCTCCCCAGCCTGGTGACAGCGTCATGGTCGTGCCCACCTTACCTGACGAGGAAGCCAAGAAGCTCTTTCCCAAAGGAGTCTTCACGAAGGACCTCCCGTCGGGCAAGAAGTACCTGCGTTATACCCCGCAGCCGGAGTGAAGCGGCTCTGCCCATCCTGCCGGGCCGCGAGTCATTCGGCATCGGGAGCCTTCCGCGTGCCCAGCTCCTGCCTCCCTGACACCACGCGACCAGCAGCCTCCTGCCATGACACTGATAGCACATCGCAATACTAAACCGATCCTCCCCATCCCTTTCATCCCCCACATCCCCTCAAAACTAAACCCCTGGGTGTTTTCTTGCCTTGAATCGGCCCCGCAAGGAACGGGTTAGCAGAACTCGGGGGCTCCAGGGCTCATGCTGTGGAGTCTCTCCTGTTCGGCACCAGCTGAGCTTTTCCCAGAGGCACGGTGAGAAGCGTGGTGTCAGCAGCCAGGGGTGTCCTGCGAGGTTCACACACCTCCCATCAGGGAGCTTTGGGGGTTCCAAACCGCTGCGTGCCTTCCGGAGCAGCCGTCACTAATGTATTAACACCTCTGTCTGGTCCCGTGCGTAGGGGAGGAGCTGCAGAGCCAAATCTCTCACTTGTTACTGCTTTCTCATCTCTTGCTGGAAATTGACTGTGTTCAGGTATTATGGAAGAGGGAATAGAGCAAATAAACTGATCTTCAGTACTACCTGCGCTATCCCTCGTCTGCCTCTGCTGGTGTCCGCGGCACCCTGCACCAGTCACTGTTCCCTGGGCAGCTGGGATGTGCGCCCATGCTCCCAGGCGGGTGGCAGCGGCACGGATTGCCCTTGTTCTTGCCCTGTAAATCTGGCATGTTGGGCAGCAGGGCCCAGGGCAGTTGTGCTGCTGCTGCTTTATGAAGAGCCTGGGTGGTGGGAAGGAGATGTCTGCTCAGGGAGCGTGCCTCGGCATGGCCTGCTGTTAGCTGCGGGTTGGGGGGTCCTACCCTGCTTCCCAGGGCATGATACAAGCCATGGGAACTCCTCTCTGCTCCCACCCCTCAGGGATTGTCAAGAGATGAGCGATGATTTAATAAAACGTTGGGAAATAAACCTCTTCACTGAATAGCTCCTAGGCTGCCTGCCAGCATCTCTCGGTGCCGAGCGCAATCAGCAACACTCAGAATGAGCAGCTGTTAAATAAATTGGCTGTCTTGGGGCATAAACATACCCCACGGCAAGCAGGAACTAGCAGGGGGGATGCTCACGGTAAGCAGTACACTGGATGCGAGGAGATAAACCCCAGCATCCCACGGGCCGTGATCCTGGGCAGCATCCACACCCACCTGGGATGTGGCCCATCAGTCCTCAGACAACATCCAGAGCTGCCAGCTCCTCCTGCCACCCATCGCTGTCCTCCTGCTCACTGCTGAGGACATCCTTCACCAAACACAGCTGCGTTTCAGAGAACTCCCTCTTTCATTACCAAAAAAAAAAAAAAAAGGGTTATATTAATATTTAATTGCCTGCAGGAACTACGCAGTGAATATTGATATTTTTCCCCAAATGACTTTTAAGTGACCCTTCATTATGAAATTCTGCATTATCCCCATGTATTATTTTTCCTAGAAGACAAAAGCACCTACTCTCTGGGTTGACTTTTGCTCTTCCTCTTCCACTCTGCAAGAAGTGGGAGGGGGATCTGCAATTCCAAAGGGGAAACATCTCTTTCCTGGGTAGTTGTTCAGCCTTATCAAGCTTTTGGCAGCTTCCCTAGTTCCCCACAGCCAGGCTGCGGCAGCTCCTGGGTTTTTTGCTGTTCCCTCGGCACACAGCCCTCACCTTGATCTGGTTTCCTAAGGGAACAAGGGCTGTCTGCCCCCACCCCCAGAGCTTTCCAACCGACTGCCCCATTTTCTGGAAGCTGGAGGCCCCACGGCAAGCTCTGTGCAAACAGGCTGCGCTGAGCAGCCCCAGGGAAGGGGCTCTGCAGGGTGAGCACAACCTTGCTGAGACACCAGAGAAGCCACCTGCAAGCTGGGACAAGTGCGAACAAGTCCCATCACCAGACTCAGGGGCTTAAAGCCAGCAGGGGCAGCTGCTGGCCCCACCACTGAGCCCAGCAGGGGCTGGTGGCCAAAAGCCCACAGATTCCTGCCTGCTTCCCCGCACTGCCACGGCCCCGGAGGTGTAAACCAGCCAGACGGACTCAAAAAAACCACAGGGTTTGGTTCTAGTACAGCTCGAGTGGTTTTCTTTTAATCCCAGAGAAATTAATGCAACATTTGTTCGAGTTGGTAATAACATCCAGAGACAGAAGTCCAAGCCCCCTACTCAATAAAGTCATTTGTGTTTAAGGCACTCTGCAAAACCAGCTTTCCTCTTCTCCTTCCGATTTTCCCCACGCGGCAGCAGAATACCTGTTTTGGTCTTTTCTCCATAGTGACACCCACGTGTCCTGGCTCTTCTCACCATCTCCGGGAATTGGCAACAGCAAATACAGCGGGAACCGAACAGAGAAACGCCGGGAGGCCGGGCCAAGAAATACGGACGGCACAGGAGGGAGCACAACGCCTGGGGAGAGGGCACAGAAGCGTCGAGCTTCTGCGGGAAGGGGACAGGCATGAGGTGACCTCCCTGCAGGCACCAACGTGATTCCCCTTCCTTCCCTCCCCGGCTCTGAAAGGGGATGGGAACGCAGGGGTCTGCAAGCATCCCTCCCCAGCTGCGCTCCCCAACATGTGGCAGCACCCCAAAACGCAGGGGGCTGGGCGGGGGGCGATCCAGCTGCCCCCACCGCACAGCAGAAATGACCCCCGACTTCCAGCCATCAATAAATACCAATAAATAACTTAAACCTTAAATAAATAAATACATAAATAAACAAATAGATAAATAAGTGATCCAAGGATGGGGATGGATGGGAAGGGGCACCCCGAGGCTCAGGGCAAGGGGAGCTTGCGGGTGGGCACTGCCATGACCTGCCCCTCCCTGAGATAGCGGGGTGCTGGTGCAAAAGGGGGCACAGGGAAGGCATCCCACGGGGCAGTTGGACAACCCAGACCAGGGGTCCGGGCACCCATCCCTGGCATGGGCTCTGCACCGGGACTACCGTGCAGGGTCCCCATCAGTACAGCTGCGAGCCACAGGGACGTGAGCCAAACCTGGAATCACACGTGGGAGCTCGCACCCTCCTTTCCCTCCCCTTCACTTAAGCATCAGAGCCCTGCACTCGGTCAGTGCTCCTGAGCTCAGGCTGAGGCTCACCCGGCGCCTCCGCCCAAGCGTGAACATGCACCTTTTGCGAACAGGCAAAATGCCTGCCAATTTTTGCAAACATTGTTTGCAATTATTTCTTGCAAACAATTTTTGCAAACTTTTTTCTTTTTTTTTTTCTTTTTTTTTTAACAGGGAAATGCCCACAGAAACAACCCACATGTCAAACCAAGTTAAGTGCATCAAATCCAGCCATCAGAGAAGGAGCAGGCACAGAAGCCTGGCAGAAGCCCAGAGGGGTGAGCACAGGCATGGTCCCAGGGCTCAGCCCGAGCCTGCCTGCAGGCTGGGGCAGCCTGGGGAGCTCAGCCACGGGGCTACGGCCAGGCACTGAGCCCAACACTGGCAGCACACAGCTCCCTAGGGAGGTTGCAGACATGCACGGACAGAAAGGCACCCACTGCTGTCTCAGCATCGCAGCAGACGATGTACCCAGGCTCCGGCCGGCCAGCACATCCCAAAAGATGGCAAGGAATCCAATAGCATCCCTGCTCCTGCATCGCTGCTCTCCCAGCCAGCTGGCACCGCGGCGGTGCCCTGGGCTGGCACTCAGCAGGCAGCCCCCCAGCACAGCCCCAGCCCTTCCCCACGGGGTTTGGGGGGCTGGCTTTCTCAGCCT